GTTACATAAAATTCATACGTTAAGTACAGATAACATTTGGTTTTACTAAATCTAATTTTTTTCAATATTTTCTTCTGTATTTTTTACTACCATTGAATAAATTCCGCGGGTGGTGGATTAACAGTTGACTTGGGTTCATAGTAGCTGCTGCTTTTGGTACTTAAATAAATACAATTTTCAGTTTATAAACTATAAAAATCAGAAAAGTGAACGTATTTCATTTAGGTCTATTTCTGCCCACAATGGTTTATTATTTGATTTTTTATTGAGGTAGGGCCAATTTTTTAAAGAATTTATTTCAGGCCAGCTAGGGCCGCTTTAAAGTTTTTCAATCATTACTTAAATCCGTAGTATTACAGCTCAATTTACGAACTTCCAGGTTAAACAACATGTTTGACTTGTTTCTAAAAAGATCACTAAATTTTAAAGTCACAAATCCGCAGATTGTTACTTATATGGAGTAAGTTTACCAAGAATATAATTTATGAGAAGCGAAATTTTACAAAACCAAGCAAAATCAAAATTTTTTAATTAAAATGCCTTCACCAATAATATGTAGCGATGCATAACATTTAATGGAAATATGCAAACTTGCTGAAAAAAGGTTTTCAGAATGATACTTACCCTTCAATAGTTTTATGTGACAACTTTTAGATTTCGATTCGGTGAGTGAAACAAGCAAGGAGTAAATTGGCTCTACCTCTTAGTCTGCAGCGTACGTGATGAGGGTTATTCCAAAAGCACGTGTTGCTGTCGTTCGCACTGGAATTAGTATCATTGTGTTTATCTCCTCGTCTTCCTACGATAAAGCAGCAAGATGATTACGCAGAATCTTTGTCTATTTCGTTTTTTTAATAACATAAATGGTATAAATTTTACTGCTAGAGATGCACGTTTCGAAAATTAGAACATCTTCACTGATGCTCGAGGCCAAATCATGATGAAATGCAAACCCAAATACAAATGTTATGAGCTGATAAAACTAAAATGGACCAAAAGTAAAGTAAAACTCGGTCAAGGAATCGGAGCTATGCATAAAAAAACATGTTAAAGGGAACTCACTGCAATAGTTAAAGGTAACAAACGTTTGTTTAAAACAAAGTTTTATTAAGTTTGGTTAAAAAAATTTAAAAATGTAGGAAATAAAGTCATAATCAAAACTTAATCAAACAGCTAGTAAAGAAAGCAGGTAAAAAAAACTGATATGATTTCCGTCCAAACAGCACGTGTTTCTAATAAAATATTTACCAGTTACGCTGGTGACCAAAAGTTTGGAGAGCAAACATATGAATTTTTCGAGAGCCAAAGAGTGTGAATAGAACCTCCTTACTCAACTAAGGTAAACTCTGCCTGAGGGACTTCACACTTTACACAATCAGACAACCACACAACCTTATGAACTGGAAAAATTATCTGAGTAAATCTTTATGTTTGAACTTTGTCACTTTCAAGAACATTTTGTCCTGAAAATATTTAGCAATGAATACATAGTGATTTCAGTTTATTTAGATTAACGTTACAAGTGCGTTTTTAAAATTTCTATTTTCGTTTTTAAAATTTCTGTTTTAGTTTTTATTGTCGAGCCTGCGACTTTTGTCGCAGAAAGCTCGACATAGGGATAGTGATCCGGCGGCGGCGGCGTTAGCTAACTTCTTAAAAGCTTTATATTTTAGAAGGTGGAAGGTCTGGATGCTTCATACTTTGTATATGGATGCCTCGTGTTATGAAGTTTCCGTCAGTCACATGTCCAATGTCCTTGACCTCATTTTCATGGTTCAGTAACTACTTGAAAAAAAAGTTAAGATTTTTTGTAATGTTAAATTCTCTCTTATAAGTAAAAGGATAACTATATTTGGTATGTGCGTACCTTGCAAGGTCCTCATGCCCGTCAGACAGTTTTCACTTGACCTTGACCTCATTTCATGGACAGTTACAGTTGTAATAAAGCTTTATATTTAGGACTATCAACATAATATCAATGATTAGTAAAGAAGGCGAGACATTTCAGCGTGTGCACTCTTGTTATTTTTAACGTTGTATGTGTACATGTCACTTCATTTTAAAAAAAAGATACAAGCCAATTAATGCACACTTAAGTTTAAAAGTGCTTTGTCAAACAGCATCGTTAAAAATATTGCCATCGATAAAATGAAAAGGAAGTATCATTAGTGCAATACTATTAAAACTACCACGCATAATAGGTTTAACGAATGGCGTTAACTGTATATAGCTCCTACCACTGATTATTGTGAATAGTCACACACGCACTTGGATTATACTTTAAAACAAATTAGTGAAATTGTCCGTGTGACAAAAGCCGGTAATTGCTTGCACCAAAAATGAATCTCGTATTATCTGTCAACAAGTGCTTAAAGCATAATCATCAGCTTTCCATAATACGTGTTTGAGTTTGTAATAACTATACATTACATAGTCTAAATATATGACAGCTTTACGGCAGAAATCTCCATCGGATAACATATGGTTATACAAGTCTGACACCAAAAATCATATATACACACATCCGGGTGCGGGATTTTCTCGCTCCATTGAAAACCCATTGGTGGCCGTCGGCTGTTATCTGCTCTTTAGTCGGGTTGATGTCGCTTTGACATATTCCCCATTTCCATTCTCAATTTTACATGTATTTCGTCTGAAATTTTGTTCTTCCCTCAGCGGAATTTTAACCCCTTCCTGCCTCTGTGACATTGTGGCAACGCTGCCTGCACTATGCCCAATGCCATAGACCACTAGGCAAATTAGACTATATACAATTCAGCTTTCGTTATAGTCGAGGAATGCCATTCCTCGTCGGCTTTATCTAGGGTTGTAACACAGTACATAATGCATTGTGGCCTGTAGATGGTACAATGTATACCTTGTAAATCAGCTGGTTTTTGTTTTAGTCTGTCCTAAAGGATGATAATACTTACCTTGCAGTCACCTCAATATTATTTTATTATAGACGTCTAAATATGTGAAAACTTTACGACAGAAGTTCTTCATTGGATAAGATAGACTAGGGTTATAGCAGGGCCTACATCATAATTTATGTATACTGTGTTTGAAATTTAGCCTAACAATGTTAGATCTGCAAATTTGCAACAAATTGCTAGCCAGTTGTAATTTTGTACAAGTTATCGGTATTTGGGAACCTCTTAACATAACCGGGTTAAAGATGCATATTGTCTTTGACTTATAGCTTATAATTGTCATATGCTATAGCAGTATAAATGACTAATACAATTTTTATTCTAATTTAAATGACATTATAAGATATTTTGAGGATATACAGAAATTGGCATGAGTGAAAATACATATAGGATATATAACCCAATCCAACCCGTTTGCAGTTCAATATCAAACAAGACAAAGCTTAATGTTAAGTTGAAATATATAAATGTGTGAGTTAAACATCAAGCTGTTGAATTATTGACTAAAAACTTGTATTTATTGGTAAAAATAACCGGTGTCAAAATGATGATACTTTGCACGAAACATATGTACAATTTATATTGTTTTCCAAAATCACTACTTGTACACAGCATATATAACAAATATTGAGTCTTAAATTCAAGAAAGCATAAACCATTACATTACCATCACATTATATCTTGCATAATTACGATAAACAAAATTGTATGACACTGTGGTCATATGTTGTAAATATGTTCATAGATACGGCTTATACATTTGTGACATGTTAACTTTGCTAACATACTATAATAAAAGTGACCAGACACGCACTTACTTTTGACGGAATAGAACAAAATGGACTATCCAGATGATATCTTAAGGATATAAATTAATCAAAGCCGATAGATGTAAACCTATATATCATAGAATATAAGATTCCTCAAGAAAACAAAGAAAGAGAAAAAAAAGTATAAATATTTAAAGTACACAAGACAATCGAGGTATAAATATTTGAAGTTCACGAGACAATCATCCCCTTACTTAATATTATCACAATACATACTAGTACTCATATAATTGAAGCAATGACCTTATCATTTAATACCGTCATAGGTAATTAAAGAACGCACCATTTACATTTGAGGGCTAGCTGTAAATATTGTCTAAACGGACCTGTTTACGTCTTAAAAAGTGTAAATAGATTATAAGCATGATATGAGTAGGGGATATCTTTTGTATAAGATCAGTGAGATCTTAAAAACTTCTTTTCATATAAATCATTCTAAACACAACTCATCTATAAAGTAGATAATATATGAAATAATACATCGAATAAATTGAATTTTAATTTTTTTTTAAAGTAAAGAAAGTGGTAGCTTTGAAATATTTAACCCACTTATATACAAAGAAAATCTTTTAAAAATTCTCGCTAATATGTTTTACTGGTCAAGAAAATTTGAAAGAAATACACACACAACACTTCAAGTGATTATGTTTGTGTTATCCAAATCAATGAAACCGTTGATGTTTTTCAATATTGAAGACGTACTAGTCCTTGCGTTGGCAACTATATACATATAAATTATAATTAATAAATAATATTTGTAAATTCAATGTCTACATGTAAATGATTCTTTCTTTATAATATCTTTTATCTGTGTTATATGGTACACGATGGTTATTTATAATGATACAAAAGACTGAATTTACTTGACAGTTTCATTAGAATAATACACTATATGATTATTGCATGTATATATTATTTTTTTCCCTGATGACGTCGATGATTTGAAGCTATATTTGCACTAGTATAAAAAAAAATTGGAAGAAGTGGTATGATTGCCAACCTCCACAAGAGACCAAATGACACAGAAATTAACATCTATAGGTCACCGTACGGCTTTCAACAATGAGCAAAGCCCATACCGCATAGTCAGCTATAAATGGCCCCGAAATGACAAATTTAAAATTCAAACTAGCGCACATTATACTGAACGCTAACATTTCGTTACTTTCTTATACTGTTGCTATACAATAAACTGATTTATTCATTTCTCTTTATTTTATTTTTACTTTGGATTTAGTTCTCATACTGTAAAGGAAAGCTGAATGATAGATAATAGAGAGAGATGGATGAAGGACGCTTAGGAATAGTTCGACGTCAGGAAAACAGTCGCAGAAAATTCGTTTTCATGTTAAATGAAGTAATGAGATCGCAGTGCAATGTCGTGGATGAATGCATTTCAAGAGAAAAATTTGAAATTGGAGTTAAATACGACAAATCGTTTGTTCCAATAAGAAGAGCGGTTGTAAAACAGCGAGTACTTCAAAAATGTTTAAAAATGAAACGGGATCCTAAAAAAATTACAAACAGAAACTTGGGTGTTTATGGCGGGAAACCTTTATATACGTTTTCCCGAGATATTGACAAATTTATTGCTGATATGCACCCGCGTTTAAGACGATTGAAACAAGCTGAAAAAGCGCTTACAGAAAGTATTGAAAAGGGTAAAATATTAGATCCAAAGAAAGTTCCTCTGAAGATAGAACAGTATTTTAAGAAAAACTGGAAAAACGACATCGAAGAGAAGGTACAGAAACCAAAGCCTGCAGTAGTACAAGAGAGCAAGGACATATTCAAAAATACACGAAATATGTTGCCTCCTATTAGAGGAATGATAAATCCATACAGTAAAAGAATATGGAATGATTATCCCGACGAAAATGACAATGATAGAACCGATGAATCATCGACACATTTGGTAGAGGAAGACCGTATGAAATCAAAAGAACCTCAAATATATAATGACTCGAAACATCAAGGTGCAATAAATAAAAATCTTCCTTCTGAACAAGCAAATAACAAAATTGATGTAACAAAAAGCAGCGTGTCACGTGAGAAAACAAAGGGGTTATTAATTTTGCCGCCAATACAACAAACAAGACAGATGGTTCAACGGTGAATTTCATATTGATATCATGGAATGTTAGATTGTATTTCAAAAATGTCGGTTTGTGCAGAAATATCAAAATCGCACACATATTTATACAAACACATTATTAAAAGTAATCTGCTGTATTCAACATTTACGTTTTCAAAACATTTATACCTGATTATTTCCCTACTGAAAGAAGTACTTCAACGGCACAAATATTTGTCATATTATATTTTCTAAATTAAAAGAAAATATGTTGCGTAACTTTGTAATTTGTTATATGTTTGGTTAAATGTATCTTGTATTTGAAGGTAGCATTTATTTACATATTTAGTTTCATAATTTTTAAGGATGTACTCGGGTGAGGTTTATGAATTTTTGTCAGATGTTCGGACTTCTTGGTTTTTTTTCCTACGATACAGGGTAAAATATTTTGCCCCTTTTCACCCACTTTTCTTTTCATAGACGAGTTTAATAACTCACAAAAAAGTCATTACCAAAATTTAAGCAGATTCTAGATTTTTTTTTAACGATTTGAGACCCAAATAATGCCAATGCTAAAGATGAGGTAAAAGTCAGAGTCAGCCTTTTCCCGCCATTTTTTAAAAATCAAATATTGCAAAAAGGAGTTCCATAACCTATCAACATTTTTAGCTTATTTTGTTCCTTTATTAATGCTCTTCTGACTTATAGTATCAATTCTAAATTCTATTTTTTTAATTTCACCTAAATACATCCTTTTAAGACAATTGGTATATATCTTATTTATGATCATGACGTACAAGTATTTTTGTGTTTCTATGGACAAACAAAATATCCTGCATTTAATTACTTATTATACACAGTATTTTCATAAGGAACAACGTACTTTTAAAAGAGTCACTATTGTTAAATCAGATTTTTTTTTCAAAATTTAAAAAAGAAGATACCATGCACGCGGACATAGTTAGTACGAGGTAGACAGGCAGTATTCTAAGTTTCGTTATTGTCCTTTTTTTAATAACATAATGCGTTATGTGATATGATGTACATGTAGTGTACTGAAATTGAAAAAAAAACTGCATTTGGCAAATGTTACCTGAACCATCAAGTAAATACATATACCAATATGATCTGATTATTTCCACAATAATCTTAACAAGCGCTTTCCCGCTCATATTCATTATCTTTAGAATTTGAATTTAACCATGATATTATATTTTGATGTGGCAACAAATACCTTGTTAAGCACTACAGAAACAAATTTGTTTGTAATTTTAGGATTTATAACAGACTATCTTCTAAAATTACAAACTAAAATGGCGGGAAAAGGCTGACTCTGACTTTTACCTTATCTTTAGCATTGGCATTATTTGGGTCTCAAATCGTAAAAAAAATATCTAGAATCTGCTTAAATTTTGGTAATGACTTTTTTGTGAGTTATTAAACTCTTCTATGAAAAATGTTGTAAAATGTAAATGGAAAGCAACCAACAAAAAGCCAAAAAGAAGTTCCCTTTTCAAATATAGCAAAACTATTATAGGCTCCTTTATATTACACAAACTGTGACGTGTTGTTTTATACATTAAAATGATTTCATTGGTTTCTAAACATTGGGCTTTTGACTTACGAAACCTGCTCATCAACCAGTAGAAAAGAATCACAAATGAATAAATTGCATGGTTAAATTTAAAAAGAATGTGAAACTGGAAGAAAATAGTACCTGGACTTCTTTTCTGACGATGTAATAAGATGCATAACATAATTCCAACTACAATAACAGATAATGGCGGATTGTTTGTGTCGGATATTTTTGGAAATAATACAGTTTTGATACAGCTAGCTATACATATAGTCAATGAGACAGCAGAGAACAACACAAAGTTATCATCCAGACATATATTGGCGCCCGTTAAAACGTTTAAACCCGCTGCATTTGTTTGCACCTGTCCTAAGTCAGGAACATTCAATTGAATAATAAATAGGGTGTCGTTTGTTGATGTGGTTCTTAAGTGTTTCTCGTTTCTCGTTTTTTATATAGATTAGACAGTTGGTTTTCCTGTTTGAATTGTTTTACATTAGTATTTTTGGGCCCTTTATAGCTTGCTGTTCGGTGTGAGCCAAGGCTCCGTGTTGAAGGCCGTACTTTGACCTATAATTGTGTACTTTTTACACATTGTGACTTGGATGGAGACTTATCTCATTGGCACTCATACCATATCTTCTTATTTCTATATATATATACGGCAACAAACTGGTGTCTTCAACAATAGTTAAGTATTTTATTTGCATAAACACAAATTGGATGAGACACAAGTCAAACAGACTTATGAAGTCTTCTCCTTTAACATATTTAACAATATAATATATAAGAGCATGCATATACTATTTCAACATTTGTATAAATTGGACAGAAACATTAAGTGGCACAAAAGAAAAAGAAGAAGAAAAACAAATTTAAAAGAACACAAAAAACAACAAAAAAAAAAAAAAAAAAAAAAAAAAAAAAAAAAAAAAAAAAAAAAACACAACTGAATTTAGACGATGCTTTGTGTGTAGTCATGTTTTACTCTCTAAACAGGAATCTATTCGACCTTCTAAGGAACTCAAACACATGTTTAAAGATATTTTCATTTTGCTCCTGAGTAAGTAGACTTCTAATCGAGGTTAATAATTCTATATTTAATGGACAATTATTTGGGAGCAAGCTAAGATTAAGGGATTAAGGTTAATGCAAGTCTGCAGAACGGAAGTATCACATTACCATTGCGTAGTGCATAAATAGTCATAATTTGGATTGTTGGTGAATTACTCAAATATTCTGGTACATTATTTTGTTTAATATTATAAAACATTTGAATTTCTCTTGTTTTCTTCTTTCAGTCTACGTTTCCCACCCAAGTTCCTTGTAAATTATCCTTGAGCTTGTAAAAATAGGTAAACCCGTTACTATTCGAGCAGCTTGAAGCTGTAATTGCTCCAGCTTATTAATATTACCCAATCCCATATTATCCTAAACTTCACTGGCATATTCAAATAACAATAGTAAAATGTCGATACCATATACGCTACCTTAGCCTAGAAAAGTTATCAACATATTTAACAGACACTATCAAAAATCTGACATCTACATAAAATTCTCAACGACAAAAACAGTGAAATATAACTGCACTTCAATTACAAGTTCGTAACTTTGAACAAACACCTTTACACGTGGCAGAGTTAAACTAGTTTCTGAGCACTGGTCATGTACACCCACTTTTGATTCCAGAGGAGTTAAAAAAGGTACATGAAAAACATATATCGAAAATGTGAATAAGAGCTGTTAACCTCATAATAACGGTATTAAAGACGTAGAGTTTGAATATAACATGTATAACATTGATTCAATTTATTCAGTAGCCTGGGTCATATTTATACAATTTTATAACAATCAACATAAGCAAAACCAAATTGAATGATATATAGATCAAATTCAAAATAATGTATAAATAAGCGTTTTCTAGACCAGAAGATTTACCAATTACTCCAAAAACCTTTAAATTTTTACATTGCATTCATTTCTTGTAAATATATCTGTCAAATATATATTAGTATCTAAATATAACTCACAAATTGTAGATAACTATTGAAGAAAAATTGCATTGTTCCTAAGACGGGTTTACATTTTGATTAACTTTTAACACGTTAAATTATGACAGTTTCAAATACCTTTTTAGTATTGTGCGTCATAAATGAAATCTTTCGATTTAACTAATATGCATGTCATCGAAATATTGTCATTTCAATAAAAGAGCTACACTACAACACAAGCATGGATGAAATTAATCTATAAAAAGAATTTTCATCTATATGTTTAAGTATTCTTTTTACTATGTCTATACTTAGAGAACCCAGTGCTTAAACATTAGCATGTTTTACATTATACATAATGTTTGCATATTTCCAGTTAAAAAAGGTCTTATAATTACATTACGTGTAGGTTTCATTATAATACGTCATTTTGATTGGCTAACAGCAATCTCGCGTCATTCTGAAATTAACCTTCATTTCAAAATGAAATGTAACATTCATGATGACACGAGCTTCCACAATAAAGTGCGCAGATTAATGAAAAAAAAACTTAATAGAAATCGTGTTTTCATGATCCTAGCAAAAAAATGTAATTATAAGTAATGAATGCTTTTTTTCGCACAATTTTAGAAAATTTACTTCGGTCAACGCTTTTACACCCCAATAAATTTACAAAAAGAAGCATTCAATTCTTAAGTAAAATTAAGGTTTCAACTCCCTCATACATAATTTTAAATTCTAGAATAGTTTGATATTTTTTTGCAATTTTAGTGGTCAAATAACGATTCTTATCATACCTCCCTTTTTACCGATTGTTTCAAATACCCTTTGTGAGATTTTGACTGAGTGTAGATTTGTATGGAGGGAAGTGCATGCATATCAGGTAACACTTACATTGTCGACACACCCGGTCTTGTCTTTTGGAGTTCATGCAATTCCCTCGGTTTTTTTTTCTAGATTTGTACACTGTAAATAGATTTACGAGATTTGAAAATTAGTAAACTACTGAACAGTTGCCTTTAATTTACATCTAATTTTTTCATGACGCAAATTCAGAGACATTAAAAACTCATAATTCGAAGAGAAACTGACAACTTCATGGCAAAAAAACGACAAAAAGTTCAGAAAACACATGTTTTCATAGAAAACTAAAGCCTGAGCAATACGAACCCTATCAACATTTGGCAAAAACAGGGGGCGATCTAAGGTGCTCCGGAATGATTTGCAGATCCTGCTCCACATGTGACATCCTCGTGTCACTCCTAAAATGTGTTTATAGATTAGAATAATACTTCCATGGTTATATCAAACGATTAGGCATCACATAATAGCGGATTTGTAATTGATTTTTATCTTATTCGATTTCAACACATCATCAAATTCTTTAACCATCGGTCATTTAAGTTTTCTAATACTTGACCGATTGAGAAATTTTGAAATAAAACAAAATATTACAGATAGAAACAAATCATACATTTGGGAATTAAAAAGCACAAACTACAACAGCGACACCTACATATCATTTATGTTTGCGTGTTTGTTTATTTAATAATCACGATGAATTATTCTGTATTATCTATTCTAAATATATAAGACTCGGTCCGACTTGTTATTTCGACCTGCTTTTATTACCTGGTCTATAGTTCAATCTGCTAATATCAATTGACAATTGTTACTCTTTTAATGGATAGTAAACAATGGAAATACAGATTTCATGTTTAATCTAAATAACTAGCGAACATCTTCATTATATTTTTTGAACACGCTCAAAAGAGTAAGCTATAATAAAATCATGTACACGTTAAATGAATAACCTTGCATGGTTTATAGGAAAACTGCATAAAAAAACTGCTCATCTGAAAAACATAACAAAGAAACTAGAACAAAACATAAATAACCAACACGTGTATTGTACTTTAAAATTTCTACGAAAGACAAGAAGGATCATTTGATCCTTTGATTTTATTATTTGATTCAATATCTCATTCTTAAAATTACAGATTCGAAATTCTAAATTAAAATTCGAAATTCTGGAAACAATATATGAATTCGAAAGTGGCAATTTCTTTCGATTAAACCAAACAGAATAAAGCATTTTTTGAATTATGAAAATAAAACGTGGGTAGAATACAAACTCTTCAAGAATGTAGTTCAACAACACAAATAACAAAAATAATTATCTTAGGCAATAAACTTTGTAAGTGTTCCAGGAGATATTTCTGTAACTATTAGGAATTTACCTCTGACTGATTTAATACTAAATATAGAAGACTTTGATATGCTTAAAAGAGAGGGAAAAAATACCAAACGGACATTCAAACTCATAAGTCGAAAATAAACTGACAAGCTGAAGCTATGGCAAAAAAAAATCCAAACTACCCAAGGACAAAACAACAGTATATAAAACGCAACATAGAAAACTAAAAACTGAGTAATATACGACTGGTGAAAGAATGAAAAAAACTATTAAATCGTTCTTTGTAGGCACATTTATAGCCTTCTTATATAACATCATTCTCTATAACATTAACAAAGAATATATAGTAAGGGATACAATAGAATTCATAATAAAGTAAAAGGACAATTCAAACAGGATTTTACGCATATAGATTACTTATAACATTTATCTTTTGTATTCCCTGAGTAGATACATAGATAAGATCTATTTTTAAAAATTTGATTAGAAATAAGGTAACTGTTTTTTTTTTGTATTCGTTGAATCGCTCCTGTAATTATCTGTCCTTGTCGTTGAAAATTTGTTCAGCGGAACCTGTGATGAATTTAAACCTGGCAAGAACTTCTTTGTTTCGTGTAAAAATATCGATTAATGAACTATCAGTTTAAGGAACTGTGTTGGTCTCGGGTACTGTTCTCGACTCTTGTGCGTGGGATCTTGGTTTTAATCACTTGCAGGCAAATCCAAAGACTAAACAAGAGTGCACACGGTGAAATGTCGAGCCCGATGTAATGATCATAATTGAGTTTAAGTTAAAAATATTTA